CTATTCTATTCTATTCTATTCTATTCTATTCTATTCTATTCTATTCTCATTAACAACCTTCCCTGCCACAACTGTTAAGTGAATCACTGCAGTTAAGTTAGTAACATAGTTGTAGAGCTAAAAAAAGGGAACTTAGAGGGCCACAGATAAAATATGCTTTGGTCCATATGAGTTTCTGAACTGGTTTAGGTTGGCTTGTATTAAGACTAAGCTATTTCTAGATTTTTTTTAAAAAAGTATACTTTAGCGTAGGTCAGAAGTAGGGCTGAGAAGATATCAGCATACCCCTCACATCCTGGACATAAACTGTTTCAATTCTTCCCCTTGGGGTGCCACCAGGGAGCATTGCATGCCAAAACAGCTAGACAAAGGGACAGTATTTTTCTCTATGCCATCACTCTGCTGAACACCTAATTCCCACAGTATTATCTTATATCTAAGGATATAAGTATACAGTACTCAACCTAGAGTATTGTACATGTGTTACAGTGGTGGGATTCAATTATTTTTACTACCGGTTCTGTGGGCATGGCTTGATGGGTGTGGCAGGGGAAGGATATTGTAAAATCTCCAATCAGAGGTGGTATTTGCTGGTTCTCTGAACTACTCAAATTTTCCACTACCAGTTCTCCAGAACTGGTCAGAACCTGCTGAATACCACCTCTGATGTGTTGGACTGCAACATCCATCATCCTGAAACAATTGGGGTAATGGAAATTATAATGATAAGGGAGAATATTTGAGCTCAGAGTTGAAATGGGTGGTCTTTGGTGATCTCTGGATTTGGTTGTTTTCTTACAGATGTTTCATTACCCAAACTAGGTAACATCATCAGTGCTAGTAAGAAATGGGGTTTGCTCTCACTTTATATTCTAGTAGCTTTCTCCTAGTGTTGGAGGTTCTTCAGTTCGATTGTTTATTGTTAGCATGTTTCACAGTTCTTAGATTGGGGTATTGCTTACTTCTTGATTATTAGTCTGATGTTAATCTTGGTGTTATGTTCATCTGGGTTTTGATTGCTGATGGAGATGTGTTTTGATTTTTTTTGTCCTTGTTGATACTCTTTTTTGAACAGTGTGTAGATGTTGTTTGTGACTATGTCTATTGATGGCCAATATTGTTTGAGTGCTAGGGGTCCTGGAATTTTCTAGTATTTTTGGATTTGGCTTGGTCCAGAAGCTGAAACATGGGTATGTCCGCATCATGAAATTAAAGTTTTAATCATATCTTCTGACTGCTAATTGGTGTTCATGGATGTGTTCTGCTAATATCTATCTGTTTGTCCTAAGTAGTGGCTGTTGCAGTCTTACACTCTATGTTGTAGATAACTCCTATTTTTCTTCTTCTGGGGCTGTTGGGACTTTTGGTTGACTTAGGGTGTTTTGGAGAGCTTTGGTTGATTTATGTACTATGCTGATTTCATGTGGTTGTAATGGTGGTTTCTGATATGCTTTTGATGCATGGCAGTATTATAATGAATTATAATCCAACATATACGGATGGTGTCTGTTTTAGGCAGACTGCTCTAGCTTTTGAAGAACTTCTTTTAATTGAGCAACATTATAAAGCCAGTGTGATCTACGATGGTTAGAATATTGGATTGGCATTTGGAAGACCCAATTCAAGTCCCACCTCAGCCACAGAAGCTCAATGGATGATTTATGGCCTACGTCTCTCAGTACTTTATGTAGTTGTTATTTATATCTATGTGTCTATTGATGGCTGATTTGTCTGAGTGCCAGGCATCCAGGAATTGCCTAACATTTTTGGACATGGTTTGAACTTTAATATCTCAAGAGTTGTTACAAGGGAAACTGAAAGAAAAGTATACTGTTTATGCCTACTTGATCTCTTGAACGAAAATTGTAAAATAAAGCTAGAAACATCTTTTAAAAAATCAAGGTAGGCAAGCTAGACATCTACCAAATAAATAAAAAGCAGAGGGGGTGAAAAGATGTTGCACATCAGGAATAGGGGAATCTGGTTTATTACTTAAGTGATGTCTTTTTAACACAACTACATACTTCTATGCAGACAATATCAATTTGCTTTCTGAGTAAGAGGTATATTTTACCTGGGGATTAGCAATAACAATAGAATTTAGATTTATATACCACTCCATAGTGCTTTACAACACCCTCTGGGCTGTTTACAGCAGGTTGCCCCCAAAAATCTGGTCTTCATTTAACTGACCTTGGAGGGATGGAAGTCCGAGTCAACCAGGATCAAACTCCAGGCTCTGGGCAGAGTTTGACTGCAGTACTGCATTCTAATTCACCATGTCACCATGACTTTGTATTATTTTTTATCTTATTTTCTTATATCATATTTTGCAGCTACTGTCTCAGGACTGAGCCATGGTTCTTAAGGCCTACTGTTTTGGGGCTCTCTTTCTCCTGCTCTGTCTCTCAGCTACTTCCATCTGCCTCCCCAACAAAGCTTCATCCTATAGAGAATTTATCAGAAGGCATGTGGACAACCCCAAAACGGACCTTCAGAATGATCACAACTACTGCAACCGAATGATGCGCAGCAAAGGCTTGAAATGTCAACGGAGCAACACCTTCATCCATGCCAGCAGCGAACGGCTGATTGCCATCTGCAACTCCAGAGGAAAAAAACTGGATGGCAACCAGACCAGCAAGACCCTGTTCCCGATCACCATCTGCATCAAGAGTAACCACCGCAGAACAATTTTTTGCAAGTATCAAGGGAGAAGTGAGATCAGGAAGATCCGAGTCACATGTTCCAAGGGCCTTCCAGTCCACTATATTACCCACACTTGAAAGAAGGGAAGAAATGTGATGGAACCAAAGATATCCTTTTCTACAGTGCCTTGGCAACCTTCCCTCATGTGTTCTGCTCTCCTACATCTCCATATGCTCAGGCTGAGCTGGCTTCATTGCTTGGCAATATCAGTATTCTCCAAGTCAATTTATAGCCTTCCTGATTGATCTGATTCTTTTTGAAAACAACTTGATGATTTCATTAAATGATAAGCCACAATAACCTTGGTAAACTCCACATGTGTACATGCAAATAAAGTTGCATCATCTTCTGTTATAATTTCCTGATGTTTGACTTCCTCCTTGTGTCTTTTCTGTAGCATGGCAATCTCTGTATCTTTATAGTAACACTGGATCTATCCCAGTGGTCGCCAACCAGTGGGCCGGGGACCACTGGTGGTCCGCAGGAAAATTTTGGTGGTCCACAGAGAAATATCCTCCCCAAAACACTCCTCCCAAAGCAATTAATCCAGGCTGTGTGGAAACACAAGGCTGCACTGCCCACATGACCCACCCACCCACTGAGTTAATGTAATGCACCCTACATGAGGTGCCTTGACCACATATTCACTTTCAGGAACACTGACCTTAAACTGTATCTTTACATCTGATCTCCAAGGCAATTCTGAACTTTAACGTTAGAATTTCAAAACATTTTATCAGAATCAGAGAGAATTCAGAGGGTTAGCACATTTTCTGATGCTTACTGCCTTTGGATGAAATTCCACAAATATCTTTCATCCATCATAGGACAGCCTAAATCATTCATGTTACAAAAGGCTATTAATTAATGTGAAAATAATAATGAATAATAAAACAAATTTCAAGTTTGTAGGCTTTACAGTTCTAGAGATTTTGTGATGATGTGCGAGTGGTATTTAGCTTTTATATACTGTATATAAGATTATCAGGGAGTTATTTTCATTACCCCACAATAAAGGTTCAATCACATCACTTAGACTCCATAATGAAGAACAAGTTCAAAATTACCCTGGTCACAGTGTTGAAAAATGTAGAAGGAGCAGCACAAGCAGGCAAGATTCTTTTATTACAGTCCATTTCAATACACGGACTTTAGCCTTATTTTGGTGATCACTTTGTAGACTGGTCTATTCATTAGGGCTGATAGATCTCTCTGCTGAAATAGGGCAATTGAAAGTGCATTAATCATAAGAGGACAATAGCCAGGAAGAAAGAAGACAGACAGAAACCTAAAACAATGGAGGAATTAATGTGAACCTTTGAGAACTATCAGATGGAATCTAAGGCAGTGAATCAAAGTGTAATTATCAGTTTATCTCTATTGCAGGATATTAACAAGAGAAAGGGCTTTATGAAATCAATATTTGGTATTATGAAACTATTTAGCCAATGTCCTAAATTAAGTGGGTAATCCATTCCAACAATGTATGAAAATCCTGTGAGTTAAATCAGCACCACTAAATCCACCAATATTGAAACAAAGAGTAAGTGGAAAATTATTGGCAGATATCCATGGACGAACGTACCTCTCAGGGCAAATCTCTTTTAAACTCTTTTCTGAGACATGAATAAATGTGTTAATTTTTATGTGACCCATGTTTGGATTGGAAATAACTTTGCAACTAACAGCACTTATTACAATCCTTTTGTTTTCAGAACTTTTCTGATGTTATTTAAAAGTTTTGCTGTTGTTGTTAATCGTCATAAATCTCACTAACCAGGACATTCAAAGACTTCCTTCCTTCTTCCTTCAATTAGGTTTTTTGTTTTGCAGCTTCTGTTCAATAACTCTGATGCATCATCATTCAATGCATCAGAGTTATTGAACCGAACCAACCACTGTGCCAGATTCAACAAACTAATGAACAGGTATTTCAACAATGATGGCAAAGATTCAGATTCAGACAGAACAATGGAAAGAAGCAGATGTATTTTCAAAGAACTCCAAATGTTCCAAGCCTTCTTAATTCTCAATTACTGATTGGGTTCCTCTGTCTCCTCTGAGCCCTTTTGTTGAATTACTGAGCCAATATATGCAATGAGTTAATATAATCTGCTCTACATCAGGCTGCATTTTTATTGTTTTATTAAAGTTCTATAGCTACCTGTCTCAACCAATGATTATGGACAGCTTGCAATTCAAAATTGCAATTTTGAATTATAAATGAAATTTAACATTACAAGCTTTTAAAATGATAAGATCATTCAAAAATAAGTATACTATTCAGAAATTGGAGGAAACCCCTACTACTATGTTCTATACCACAGGGTCAAATTCATGGTGTCAACATTGTCATCATGTGACTTTCATGACATTTTTCACCTTTGTGGAGCTGGTGTGTGCATGTTACAACTTGTCATGTGTGCCACTGAACAATATCTATTATTGGAACACACACACACACACACACACACACACACACACACACACACATAGGGAGACAGAGAGACACACACCAGAGGGACACTGGGAGACAGATAGAGACAGAGAGACAGAGATTAAAAAGAGAAGCTTCAGAAGAAAAATGATATTGAGAAAATCATAAATGAAGTTTTCAAATCAAATCAAACGTTTATTGACAATGCACAACATGTGTACGATGAAATTCAAACGAGCCTCCCCTGGTGCAAATATGAGCCAGCAGTGTGCAGCAACAGCCAAAAAAGCTAATGCAATCCTAAATTGCATTAACAGATAGATACAATCAAGATCAAGTGAGGTAATAATACCTCTCTATAAAATCTTAGTAAGACTACACCTAGAGTGCTGCTTCCAGTTTTGGTCACAACATTATAAAAAAGATGTTGAGACTCTAGAAAAGGCATAGAGAAGAGCAACCAGGATGATTAGTGGACTGGAGACTAAAAGATACTATGAATGGTTGCAGGAAGATACTAAGATACCATGAATGGTTGCATGGCTAGTCTAGTGAAGAGAAAGACCAGGGAAAACATGATAGCAATCTTCCAATATTTGAGGGGCAGCCACAGAGAGGAGGGGGTCAAGCTATTTTCTAATGCACTTATAGGCCAGACAAGGAATAATGGATGAAAACTGAACAAGGAGAGGTTTAACCTGGAAATAAAGAGAAACTTTCTGACAGTGAGCGCAATCAACCAATGGAACAGCCTGCCCTCAGAAGTTATGGCAGCGCCATCTCTTGAGACTTTCAAGAAGAGATTGGACTGCCATTTGACGGAAATGGGGGGGATGGACTAGATGACCTTTAAGGTCCCTTCCAATTCTGATTATCTGTTATCTGTTAGGACCCCCCACCCACCCAAAAAACCCCAGTGAGTTAACTCTGGTCTATGCAACAGGAGTGGGATTTTTTTAAGTTTAGAACTATGATAGCTGAGTAAACTTTAGCCTCTTCATATGTTGAATTCTCCAGGGAAATGGAAGGATGGCCATTAGATGAAATTAAAATTCAACAGGGTCACATAGATGATATCTAGGGTAACCAACAAGAGAATCCTTTACCTTTCAAGATTGAGGAGGAGTAGCTGTTGTATAGTGGTTTCTTGGATGTTCACCTTCCTTTAAGGGGAGAGACCCTACAACTCAGACAAAAGGGTCTCAGGGTCCAATCTATCTTATTTTGCTAATCACAATGCTGCTTAATTTTTAATTTTACCTTAGAGATTAGCAGCCTTTCTCTTCTCTCCTAATCTTTCTGAAGAATCCAATATCTGGTAGACTAAAGCCAACTTGATCAACTTTGACAGTGTCAAGGTTGCTGCTTTATTGACAGTTCTGCCAGGTGAATGGTGGCTGAAAGACTGAAAGAAAAGAAAGAAGGTACCTTGGTTGCATGCATTTTTCTCAAGCAACTTGTTCTTCCATAACCTCTAGGACCCAAATTCTAGATTTGCCTATGTTGTTGACCATCATGCCAACATTTCCTCCTTCAATGAAACAAAAATTATTAAAAACAAAAAACAAACTATAATAGGATATAATAGGACCCTGGCTGAGGGAGACTCTGTCCGGGGGAATTCTCCAAGGTCTGGTGACCGACAGGCCTACCAGATCAGCGAACCAAGGCTTCCTGGACGAGTAAGGGGCTACCAACAAAACCTCCGCCCTCTCCATCAGTAACTTTGTGATTGTCCCTGGGATCAGGGGAAGGGGGGAAAATATACAATAGCCCCTGGGGCCACCTGTACTGGAGAGCATCGATCCCCTCTGCTCCCGGTGCTGGAAACCTTGCAAAGAACCTCAGGAGTTGCAAGTTCTCTGGACAGGCAAAGAGGTCCATTGGAGATATATTTTTAAACATTTCTTGCTGACGGAAATATTTATAACTATTTTATAAACCCTGAAGAAATTCAGACTGGCAAATATTCTGGATCTCTTCATTGGTCAACCCAACTGTCAACTGCTAACTTGCATTTTTTAAGTCTTGAGCCAAATGTTCACTTTCAGGAAGATTAAACTTAAATGGGATCTTTAGGTCAGATCTCCAAGGCAATTCTGAACTTTAAATATAGGGCTTTGAAATCACTTTAAATAGACTCAGAGGGAATTCAAAAGGTTACTGGATTTTCTGATGCTTAGTGGCATTGGACGGAGTCCCAAAATGTATATCTGATCTATTATAGAACAGGCTAAGCCCTGAATGTTACAAAAGTGTATTAGTTTGGTGTACGAACTAATGTGAAAAGAGTAATGATGAAACATTCAGGTAGTTCTTTGGATGGCTGAACAAGGAGACACAAATTTCAGGAATTAAATTTTACCCCACAAAAGAAGATGTTAATACATAATAAAGAGAGAGTTCCATTTTGAGGAACAAATATGAAAAGATTCCTTTGAGCAGATGTCCATGATTCTTCAGAGCAGTGAAATCAAACTTCAGAGAGAAAAATGAAAACCAACTCTAACAGTTCCCAAGGTTTTCACCTAATTAACCACAGTTCCCATGGTTTTCACCTAATTAATAGAATAAAACTCCCCCTTCCCAATTGTCACCAGTCAAATGAGTACATTGGCAGGTCTCTTTCCTCCTTCCCCA